TTTTTTTTATCCTCTCTTCGTTTCGTTGTGTTGCTTTTTTTTTTGTTGTTTGTTTGTTTAATTGGTATTAACCAAAAAAAAGGAAGAAAAGAAAAGAAAAGAAACACATATATGATGAAGATCAAGAGAATATCTAATAAAGAAGTACACACTACTGCAAACACCACTCTCTCACCAGAGAGAATGAGAGAGAGCGGGGAAAGACCAGAAAGAATGAAGCAGTGATAGAAATATAACGTACCAGATAAATAAATAAAAAGAGGGAAAGAAAGGGAGAAAAGTAAGAAAGTAAGATAGATAGATAGAAAGAGATCATAGTAGTGAAGTCTCTCTGTGTGAATGTGCTACATGCATTTTTTTTTTTTTTTTTACACATACGTACACAGATACACATCATGCGGAAACACATATGCTTTCAACACCCACATGCGTTGATACACAAACTGAGAAATAAAGAAAAGAAAAAACAGAGAGTCAAGAGGAAAATACCTCTTACTTCTCTGCATTTCTTTCTGTGTATGCAAAGAAAAAGAAAGAAAGAGAAAGAGAGAAAGAAAGAGAGAGATAAGGCGGAAAATAGCTCCTTTACCGTCCTCTCTCCTTTCAAAATACCAATATAGTTCCAATAGTAATAGCCATAGTAATAATAAGAATCATACAAGTGTAGTAGTGGTTTAGAATAGGAATTTCAACTACGATTTCCCCCACATACATATATATATATTCATCTTCCTTCGTTATTTGTTGCTGTTGCCATTTGTCCTTTCTTCCTGTTTAAATATTGCGGACCCTTAACAGTATTCACTCACACCTTTTTTTTTTTTTTTTTACAAAGGGAATTGACTCTCTCCCTCTTTCTTTCTCCTCACTTCTCGTTGTGTACCACCTTCCTTTGTCTGAATGCATGCATACATGTACATACCTACATTCCTATATATATATATATGTACGTTTGTTTGTGTGTGTGTATGTGTATGGGTGTGTACTGTACCTTCTTCTTGTTCTTGTTCTTCTTCTTTCCACTCTCTTTATGGTTCTCTCACACTTCCCTCTCTACGCCGCCTTTGTTTTCTGCGCACGTGAGAGGGCCACATTGTGCAACATGCGCTCCTTCACAATGAGATGAGACGCTTTATCCAACAATCCCACACTCCGTTCCACGGCGGCATTCCATCCATTGATCACCTCCGCCGCATTCTTTGCCGCCTCAAAGACCACAAGTCCATCCACGCGGTCCATCTTTGCATATAATGTCTTTGCCGCAACCATCATCATGAGAAACTCCTCTGTGTGTTCTGGTGTGAGTCCAACGAGTTGGGCAAGGCGTTGAAGTGGAAGACGTGTGTAGAAGCGGGCAATAACGAGCAGATCGTGTTCACTGCAGCGACTGCGCAGGAGTTCCTGTCGGTCTGGATGTGGGGCGAGTTCGGTGTGGGTGGCGCAGAGTTCCGCTACTGCCGTGGCCACGCGTTCTCGTATCAGTGCAATACTTGTAAACTCCTGCAGGAGAAAGTGCAATTGCGGTACCTCCTCTAATGCCTGTGGGAGTCTTGTAGTGATGCCGCGAATAGCAGCCGTGCGATCTGCAAACCGCGTGGCCGGTGAAAAGGCGGTACACTCAGCGAGATCCTCCAATGCGTTGGCCGGGGCGTGTTCGGCGATGAGATAGTGAACGGCCATACTGCTGAGAGCGGCGAGTTTCTTCTCTTCACTGGTCTCTGTGAGATACGTCTCATACCAGCAGCGGGCCACATTAAAGTAAGACCGGCGTTGGGCGTAATAACGCCGCATGAGATCAAAATAAGTGAGTTTGGCTTCGAGTGTCTCTGGACGGCCAAGAGCGCGGTAGTTAATACGACGAGAGACCAGCGGTGTGTGTTCATAGTCCTCCAGTTCAAGACAGAGGCGGATGTGTCGATTAAGTGCATCCAACTTCTCCACACGGGGCATATTGGTGATTGTCTCAATGTGTAATCCATCTAACAAATCACAGGCCGCACGTTTTTGACCTTCTGCTTCCATCAGTTTGGCTAAATCAATTGCAAAGCGTACATGTTCTAACTCCACGTGTATTTTGCTGTCGGTAACGTGAACAATACGCTCCAGTACTTCTCTGCGACGTTCCTGCGGTAGTGAACCATCCGAAAGTAACACCGCACACTCTGCAATCATGGCACTTTGTGCCTGCTTTGTCTGTCCACGCTTACGCATAAGCATTTCAAGCATATCCAACATCTTTGCACAATCTCCATGGACACGGTAAACACGAATTACCTCCACCACGAGACGTTTTGTAGAAATACCATCACCAGCAAGACGAGCGACTTTTTCAAGGGCTAGTAATTCTCCCACAATCTCATCCAAGCTTTTATTGGTTGCACGCAGTACAACGGGAATGGTATCAGCATTAATACGCTCAAGAAGGGCATTTGTTGCCTCACTGTGGTCCTCCTGCTGCTTGAAGCTAGCTCCCCTCCACTCATCTACATCAGTCATTTTGTTTTGTTTCTTTGCTTCTCTGTTTGGTTGTTGTTGTTGTTTTTTATTTTGAAAGGGACTACTCTCTTTTCACTTTCGTTTGTCTGCGTTCCTCTTTCTTTGTTTCCTGTGCTCCTTCTTGTCTTTGTTTGTTGTTGTTTGTTTCTTTGCCCTCGGCTTCTCTTTCACTTTTTTTCCTTCCTTTTTCGGTCGGTCTTCTTGCTTCTCTTTCAAATAAATGTAACTAAACAAATAGGAATTGCTTGCACCTACGATTATTTTTAAAGGAAGAAAAAAAAAAGAAACAAAAAGAAAAAAAGAAGAAAAATCAGCAATTATTAGTTTGAAAAACTCATAAAAAAACAAAAACAATAAGAAGAAGAAAGAAGAAAAAAAACGAACGCGTCACACTTCTTTATTACTAAGCAGACAAAATCTCTCGTTAATAGAATGTTTATAGTAGTAGCCAGTGCTTCTTTGTTTTTTTTTTTCCATATTTGTTTTTTTTGTTTTTTTTATTCTTTTTGCATTAAACGGGTAATAATGTAAAAGGATACACAGACCTTTTCTTTTTTTTTTTTTCTGTGTCTTTGCACAGTTATAAAATAGGCAGAGAACAAGAAGAGTTGCCTCTATCTCTCTCTCTTTTCCCTTTCCTTTCTTTCTTGTATATTTTCTCTCAATTACTAGGAAAGTTTGGAGGTGTGGAACAACACAGACTCATACTCTGTGAAGGCGCTGTCAGGATGTGCTCTTTGACCCAACATTACCCAATCCGGCAACAATGCAATATTTCCTTTCTTCCCATTATGTAAAGATGAATCTTCTTTTTCTCCTTCTTCCTGTTGTTCTTGTTGTTGTTGAAGTAATGGGGCAATAGTCTTTAAATGTTGAATGGCACCTGCCACTGCTGCAGCATGATCACTACTCTTTACACGGAGTTGTTGTGTCCATGCATTAGGAGCATATCGGACATGCAGAGCCCGCTCCACTCGCAGTTCATTAGGCAGATTATAGAAAGTTGTCCCCCCTTCTTCCTCTTCTTCTTCTTCTTTTTCTTCATTTCCATTCTCATCACTAGAACCATGGTTTCGCTTCTTTTCCACAGTTAAAACATGATTGGCCAAACGACTTCTCACAGCACTTTCAAGTAATAACTTACTGCGAGAAGTGGAGTTAACGATTAAGTGTCCTGCCGCACGTGAGGCTCGTAGTAACTCTACCACCACTTCTACATCTTCCTGTCGTAATTGTGCCCCAACCTGACGAGAGAGCGTAATGATTTGAAGTGCCATATCAGTAACAGCAGTAGCAGCTACTCCGTAGAATAGGGTTGCCGCGTTTTCTTCTTCTGTAGAACCACGAAGGGTAAGAGCCATTTTGGTAAATAAAAGACGGAGTCCATCTTGAGTAAAGAGACGTAATGATCGACGCATGTGTTGTGGATTCCACGCAATGGCAAAAGATGGAAGTCCTCCCACTGTAGAATTGTTAGATTGACCGTCCAGTAAAATCCGCAGTCCACGTGCTGCATTGTGCCATTGTTTTACTAAACGTGTATGCACAAATGGGGCTGTCTCAATTGCAAGTACTGTAATAGATACATCACGATTACCTTCTTCTGTTGGGACTGACTTCTCTGAGGCATCAGAAGAAGAAGAAAAAGAAGTCTTTGCTGCCAATGGATAGTGTAGTCGAACCTGTTCCCAGAGTCCACTTGATCCACGTTGATTTAACATTGCCAATTCCTGTTGATAATCTGCAGCGGCATCTTCACTGTCTTCCTCCTTATCGTCGTCTTCCACTTCTCTGTTATTTCCCCCTTTTCCACCCAATGTGGGAATACGGGTATGAAATGGTTCAGGAAGTGAATGCCATGTTGCGGATTGCAAAACTTCTCTTGTGTAGGGTCCCTCCTGCAGTGGCAACTCCGTGTACTCCAAGTGTGTCCACCATGAACCTTCTTTTTTATCATGTTTATTATTACTCTTGTTGCTATCTTTACTGGTGTGGCCTTCACCATAATGACGACGGTCAGTCACCACAATATGCATTTCCTTTTCTGGGTTGAACATTGTCATTACAGGCACACGGTGGGCAGTCATATGGATAGCATCAAAGGAAACACATGAGAAGGAGGTCTCAGATGGGGACTCTGGTGGTACCAGGCAAGTAAAGTGAAACCCAAATGTCTTGGTATCAGTATAGAGAAGTGTAACCAAAAGAATATGTGGTCCAGCAAACTCCACTCGCTCTATCGTTGTACCCTTTGGAATAGAAATGATATGTGGCTTACTTACAGTTTCTTTCTTTGCGGCTATAAGTCCCAACACATGACAGGCACGTCCACCAGGAGTAAACACGGCCACATATGTTAATTCTTCAGAACTATTCCCCACTGCACTTGAGACTGCCATTCTGAAGGAAACATTTTTGCGAGATTCCACTGTGGTATTGTTTAATGAGAGTAATGTCACCTCCGTTGATTTCACCTCCACCTCAGGAGTAATGGATACCGTAATGCGAACAAGGCGTCCTGTACCAGTAACCAGTAGGAATCTTGTTGCCGACAAAGCTTGTATACTGCATAGATCCTCACTTTCAAATCCAGTTACAACAAGACGAGCATCTGCGAGAAAAGAACGCCACTGTCGGTTTTCCCGCTTTGTGGTACGAGGAACATCTGCCTTTGTGGCGATGTAAAGTTCTTTTTTACTGTTTTTGCCATTTTTTCCTCCCTCTCCTCCCACAAGGAACGCAACTGTGTGTGCACTTAGGCAGCACACCTCACACACACGCTTTCCAGCCGTTATGGAGTCTGCGCGAACAGCCCACTGCAGTGCCCAAGTATCACAGCGAAAGAGACCCACTGCAAAGAACATTTCCTGCGAGGAAACAGACGAGGTATGATGATAAAAAGAAATAGCCACATGTTCTCCCGCTGCATGCATTTTCGCATCTGTGTGTTGCTGTTCAGAGTCGTTCCGTATTCTCTTGACTGTTGGGAACTGACTCCATGATGAGAGTGGTGCTGGTGATGGGGCTCCTGTTGGATGTACGGCTTCAATATTAGCTGCTGGTCGACCGCCGTACATATCAATAAAAGATCCACCGCAGGCAATACGCCCAGTCGCAGACAATTGCATAACGGACATATTTTATTTTCCTTCTTTCCTCTTTTGCTTTCTTCCCTTGTGTGTGTGTGTGTGTGTGTGTACGTTTATCTTTCTCTCTCTTCTAACCAGGAGGGAGAATTATGAATGGCGTACACTTCACCTCCTCTACCTTTACACATGAAGAGTTAAAAACAAAAAAAAAAAAAAATAGATATCAAAAGAGAAAGTGCAAGCCAAATACATCATAAGGTCATACAGATAATTATTCTTTTTTTCTTTTCTGCAATCACCCATGTTAAAAATACAGAAATAAAAAAGGAACACAAAACTTTTTTTTCTTTTTTTTTTTGCCTTCCTCACTTTCCTTCTGTCATTCCTAATTGTGAGCTAAAACACACATCCTAAAATAAATATATATAGGGAGAACAAAGTAATATAGAGAGAGAGTATGTATGTATGTATGTATGTTCGTATAAATGTATGTCTGTATATATGTGTTTGTATTTATGTGTGTGTCTAATATGTGTATCAGCAGAAATTTGGGTGGTTTCGGAAAAAACAAACGATGAGAAAATAAAAGATATACACAGAGCAGAAAAAAAAACACATGTTTTCTTTTCTTTCTTTCTTGTTGTTTTATTTTTCTTTTTTTTTCGCTCTCTGTGGATACCCTCCAGGTTTCACTAGAGCACTCAAAATTAGTCTCTTCGCCACTCCAATACCTTCTTCTTTTTTTTCTTTTTTATCATCTCACCAATTTCCCTTTGATCCTAAGACCATACCATTCTTATTTGTAGTTTTTCTTCGGTTTTATTGTTCTTCTTGGTATGTATGTCTCCATCCTTTCTTTCTTTTTTTTTTTCGTTCATCCATTTAATCTTCTCTTTTTCAATTCTTTGCAATGTTTGCTACCTTCATTCCCTTAAATTGATGTTTATCTGCCTACCCATCTCTATTTCGTTTCTTTTCTTTTTCCATACCACTCCGCCTCTTAAACACAAACACACATACAAAAACAAAAACAAAACAAACAAACAAATATACAGAGAAAATGTGTTGGCGCGAAAAATAGACAACTTATATTATTATATTGCGTTACTTGGTGTACGCCTAACTCCTACTCTCCTAAACTCCTATCCCTTCATCATCAATTTTTTTTTTTCGTTATATTTTTTTCTGTTTATTTTCTTTCCTTCCCTCTTCCATTCCTCTTAACAGTTCTCATACACACATCCATCCCTCTCCCTCTCACTCTCTCTCCCTCTTTCTCTCCCTAACTCATTCTCTAAGAGAAGAGCATCAGGAAGGCCAACATGAGGGCAAACAGACCAATAGCCTCTGTAAGCGCGAAACCAAGAATAGCGTAGTTAAACAGCATCTTTGTCAGGTTTGGCTGGCGGGCGCAGGCGACGAGGAGATTGCCAAAGATGGTTCCAATACCAAGACCCACACCGGCGAGGGCAATAGCCGCCAGTCCGGTGCCGACGTAGTGAAGTCCCTGAACAGAGATGGCTACAGTCGAGGCACGGCGCACCGCCAACGCAGACGGAGCGGCAGCCGCACGACGGGCCACAGGCTGAAGAACAATACGGCGCATCATCTTTTATTTTATTTTTATTTCTTGTTTGGTTTGGTTTGGTTTACGCTTCTTTATCGCTGCGTGTTTACTTGTAGCTCTTACCCTTTGCTGGTTTGCTATTGGTATTGTTCGTGTCAATGTTATTTTTTGTACAAATAGATGGAAAAAGAAGAAGAAAATAAAAAAAAAAAAATACGAGAAATAAAACAGAGGAAAAAAGAATAAAATGGTAGAATAATTTTTTTTTTTTTTAAAGGAAGAGAATACGAGTATACTCGAATTGTGGTTCATCAAGGTAGTAACCATAAAAAGGCACGAAAAAGTCATGAGATAAGTTTGAAGAGAGAAAGAAAGAAAAAAGAGAAAAAAAAGAAAAAGAAAAAGAAAAATAAATTTGCGAGAGTAGTGAAATATTCCACCAAATTATATCTCTCTATATAAACGCCTTTCACACACGCGTCCAAACAGAAAACAAAAAAAAAAAAAAAACGACACTAAAAAGGAAGGATACACTTATATATACAGAGACACATCACTTTGAACATACTCATATAGATGCACACATTCCTATATCCATGACTATCCCTTCCTCTCCAATGTAATGAATACAAAACCTGTCAAAACTCCTACTTTTTTTTCCTTTCCTTCTTTCTTTCTTTCTCTCTCTCTCTCTCTCTCTTTCCTTCCTTCTCATTCTTCTCTCTCTCTCTCTCTTCAATCACCTTGCTACACTCACACAACCTTATTCACTGAGCGCTCCCACTATCACCCTCACTCACGCCACCTGTATTTGCAGTGGTGCCTGTTGGTTGCTTCTTCACCACCTCCGCCGTCCACACCGTCTCGGCGGCGACATCGTGCCCTAACACATATCTCGTGTCCACATACGACTTCCCGAGACCGAAGCCGCTGCCGAATGCCGTGACGGCCATTCGTGTGCTGACGGAACGAAACACCACGAGTGAGAAGGCGGCACCGCAGAGAAAACCGAGACTTCCCAGTCGGAGGGTGTTGTCCATCACATATCGCCACTTCTCCGCTTCTGTGAGGGAGTCACGGGGGACAAGGACCTTCTCGCTAGCCAACGTAGAGAGACGTGTCGTCATTTAGAGTGTAGATGTATTCAAATACTATGTATATACGTATATATAAGTATATATATATATATTTTCTTATTTCTGTGTTTGTGCGGAAGTATTTCACCTGCACTATATTATTCCTTCAGCACTCCCCACCCTCCACAGACACTTCCTCTACTACAAATGTAGTACGCTATCACACACTCCCCTATCCATCACATTAAAAAGAAAAAAAGAGGGAAAGAAGAAGAAGAAGAAGAAAGAGAGAAAGAGAGGAGTCCGTGTAAATTAGGAAGAGAATAAAAGGACAGAGTAGTGTATTTCTGCAATAATCCCCAAAAAAAAAAAAAGAAAAAAGAGAAAAAAAAAATACAATTGAGTTGAACCAAGTGAATAAAGTGTACACAAGGCTCCACATATGAAAAACAAAAAAAAATGATATCTCAGTGAACGCGCACACTCATAGTCACACACACACAGACAGACAGACAATTAATAAAATAGAAAAATAGAAATAAGGCAAACTTAGAAAAGGGATTTCAAAATAAAAAAAGAAAATCCCATTCACTCAGCTTCCAATTATTATTCTCTACTTCTTCTTGGTCTGGTGGCGAAGGGCCTCCTCCATCTTGGCGCGTCTCTTCTTAGCGGCCTTGAAGTTACCAAGGCGCTTCTTACAGAACTTGAGCGCGCGCTTATCCTTACCAACACGCAGCAGCTCCTGAACGCGCCTTTCCATGGGGGACAGACCGACGAGATCAGTGATGATTGCCTTCACAGCGCGCAGCTTCTTGTGCGGGAGAGCGTAGCGGTCGTTGGAGGACGGGGCGCGGGCGCGGCGGGTGGTCTTGTGGCCCTTGTTGAAGCCAGCAATAATGCCCGTGCGTGGGGCGGGGGCCTGTGGTGCCTTTGAGGCCTCTTGTGTGGTGGCGGGCATGCTGTTCTTTCGGGGTGTGTGTGTGTGGGAGAGAGAGAGAGAGAGAGAATAAAGAGAGAGAGAGTATGGGGAAGTATAGGAAATAAGAGAGTGATGGGAGAGACAACTTTACAAGAGAAAAAATGAAGAAGAAAAATGAAAAAAGAAAAGAAAAGGGATAGGGTATTGTTTCTTTCTTCGCTTCTTTTTGTCTCTTTGTTTCTCTCTCTGTGTGTGAGTGAGTGTGAGCGGTTTCGCTTTTTTTTTTTGCTTTTTGCAGACCAAGAACAAACCACCAACACATACATAGAAACATTCAGAGCAACAGAAGAAAAGAGAAACAAAAGAAATGAAGAATGATAATTTAAAAAAGCAACACTAGAAGAAAAAAAGGAGTATTAAGAAAGATTTGGAGTGTATGGATAAATATATATATATATATATATATATATATATATATATATCATACCTCATGGCTTCCTAACTCCATATTAATTACGCTATTCCTTCACCAACTCGCTGTCGTTTTGCAGATTCCCTCGTCAGGAGTAATTCTAGCACCGGTACTCCTTTACTGTACTTTTCACGTAAGAGTCTATAAATATCCTCAACCACAGTACTCTTTGATGTATGCTCTCGCACGATTTGAACCCAACGTTTTCGCGGAACAGCCACACATCCCAACATGTCATCTTTATACTTCATACCCATGCCGAGATCCCAAACCTTACATCCCACAGATTGCATGGCAACTCCAGTAACCGCCAACTGCAAGGTTCCCGCACCATTCACACTATATGCCCCAGTTGCTGAGCAATAGATATCACCAACAAGAAAACCAATTTCTGCGGCAATAAGATCTCCTTCTTCAACATGTCCATTATCTATTCTAGAGTGTATCCAAGAAGATTTTCCTTCATCTTGATTCTCTGTATCGCTACAGTAGCGATGTCGACGAATAGCTACAACAACTATTTTAGTAGCGTAATCATCTGGATTAAGAAACATATGTGCAAAACATAAACGAAGTGCATGGCACAACCAATTTTCACCATGTTGTCTTCGAATAAGAGAAAAAGCAGGTGCTAAATCTTCTTTTCGGTTAATAAAAAGATCAAATGATATTGTACGGGTAGCTTCATTTCGACTACGTAAAAATTTTTTTGATACATGAAGTCTTGACAAGAGAAATTTTCCTTCATCTTCGTCACTACTCATAGGAAAACCTTTTACAGGTGGCTGAAGTTGTGTCAGACTTCGTAGTCCGTGTAATTTTGGGGCGAAGAAAAAGTAATTTTTAGTGAGTTTAATGGCCATTGGAAAAATACCCCGCCGGCATGAGGCATCAACCATACTGGGACAAAAGATAAGACAACATCCGTATTCACTTTCACGGTATGTAGATGAAAGACGTTCAGGAAGAGTATCAAGATCTGCAAAGTTCTGTACTAATGGGAATTGTTCCGAAAGAAAACGTAAACCCTCAGGTTTTATAGAAAGAACAGTGCGAACATTATCACGGCTAGCGGCATCGAGAACCTCTCTATCAATGTCCACTGCAGAAGTGTCACCTTCGTTCACTGTAACAAAATGCTTTGTTGTGTGTAACATCAAATGAAACTGCTCCAAGAAGAGACTGAGGGGGAAAAAAAGAAGAAGAAAAGGTATATATTATTACTATTATTACTGTTATCATTTATTTATTTATTATTATTATTATTATTATTATTATTATTATTAATTATTAAAACAAAATTATTAATTTTTTTTTTTTAAAAAAGACTACCATGTGTACATAGTACCTGGAAAATTTTTGCTTGAGCAATTTGAAAAGAGAATGAGAAGGGACTAAAACGAAAAGATCCTCTGGCGCAACATCAGTACTTTCAGGAACCTCCTCCATAGAGAGAAGATATCTTTTTACCTGTATAATACACGTTAACCTAAGTATTCTTTTATTTTCTTTCCCCTCCATTTTTATTCTCCTCTTCGTTGTTCCTGTTATTCTTGTTGGTCCCCCTGTTACCTCAGTCAAATCCTTTATACCAGCTCTAGATATCCCCACTGAGCTTCATGTATCAGGTAAATAAAATAAAATTAAAATAACCGTACGGTTTTCTTCTTCAATCGTTAAAGAATATATATATATATATATATATATATATATATATATATCGTGAGGAAACCTCCTCCTTCAAAAGAAAGAAAAATGAAAAATGAGAGTAAAAGATTTTAAAGAGGTTAAAAGTACAGTACGATAAGAAGAACAAATTCATTACTCCCACTCACAGTTTTGTTCCTTTAAATCTTTCCGTCCCTCCTTCCTTTTTTATGTTTTTTTTTTTTTTCTTCTTCTTCAATCATTCCTCCTTCCCAGGAGAAAAAAATATCGATAAAGCATATCAATGCACACCAAGACCCCACTGAAAGCTCAAGTCACGAAACACTACTTTCCCATCTCTTATCACTAACGATTCATGCACACGCTTTTGTGTAAATTTTGTTAACCAGTTTCCAATACCCGGGATAGATGACATTCCTCCGGAAATAAATTGCACATAACCCTCCCGTTTAAAAGTGTTACCTGTGATTGCAGTTGCTCGTGTTGTCCACATAAGACGTAATACTCTCTGTTCATTCTCATACACAGAGAGAGCAGCATGATGACCTCTCGCAACTCCCCAGAAACCAGCATAATGTATCTCATTATCCATAAGACTACGGAACTCCCCTACTTCTCTATCATCCTCAGCCTCAAAGAAAGACTTGGCAACAGCCATATTACCACGCAATGAACCAGTGGGATCATCCACGATAAGTTTCAATTTGCGGACACTATATGTCATAATGACCTCTCTAACTCTAGTACTTACACTTTTGAGCTATTGTTATATATATATATAAAGCTTTGACTTCTTTTTTTTTTTTCTTTACTTTTTCGTCTGCTTTATTTTTGTCGTTTGTCTGTTTTTTTTTTTTTTTTTTTTTTTTTTTTTTTATTATTTCTTCTTCTTTTAGTGTCAGGGTAACAGAGGAAGCGCAAAAGGAAGTGTGTGGGACAGTACCCACAAACACGACCTCCTCTGTTTTGAACACTACGATGTAACATAAAAAGAAAAAAAAGAAACAAAAACAGAAGGGTGCAGAAAGTTTGTATGAAGAATATCTAAAAGATAATATAGTCTCTAAAACACACAGACACACACATATACCAACATGAAGAACCAACCAACACACAAACAAACAAATAAATAAAACTGTGTATACACTATCACACACACATACAGAATTATCATTAACGTCAGAAACGTCATTTCATCCCATTATGATGTTTTGGGTAATTCATCCAAAGCAGCAGTCACAACAGCCTTCAGCTCTGCTGTCAATGGAATCGGCGTGAGTGGCTGCCATTCTAATTGCCCTGCTGGATCTTTAGGCACTCCTCGGCCTACTGTTGGGTCATCCTCAAAGATCTCTCCATCATCATCAAATACTACGTGCCCCTTTGGCATTTTTATATCCTTCATTAAGTTAGTGATGGGGGGTGTAAAAGAAAAAAAAAAAAAAGAGAAAGTGAAAAAGTAAAAAACAAAGAGATCCAGAAAAAGAGAAAAAGAGATCAAATAAAGTTGGGGAGGGGGTGGAGGGGGATGGTAAAAGAGCGAAAAAAAAAAAGAAAGAAAAATAATGAGATGACATCGTTGTCTATCAGAGAATGCATTTTGACGTAAAGTCTCGTATGAAATGTGTAAACACAATATCACTCGTGTTCACACACACACACACAGAAAGAAAAAGAGAGAGATAGAGATAGAGAGATAGAGGGGAAGAGATAGAAAGAAAAATGTGACACAGAGCACACCAACCAGAGACGCTGCAAAGAAAAAAAAAAAAAAAAGAATTACGCCCAGGTGTAATAACTTCTGTGTACAATGCGTTCGGTTGGTATTTACCTCTTATTTCCATTTAGTCTTCCTCATTTCAATTGGCAACAGTTGTCCCAGAGGAAAAGAAAACACACACACACACACACCAGTTTCCTCGAACCACCAAAAAGTTAAAAAAAAAAAACTGTTTATAACCGTGAGAGAAAAAAAAAAGATGACCTTATCATCTTAATTCCCTCTCCCACCCCTCTCTTTAAGAGGAACTTAACTCCCTAACGCATCTCTCTTTCACACCACTTTCTTTCTTTTTCTAAACTTATTTTTTCGTCTCATCTATCATCCCTCTACATTTTAACAGCTACGGTTTCAAAAAAAAAAAAAAAACAGCGGTAATTTCATATACCGTCACCTTCGTTACCTATACACTTTCACTTGGTGAAAGAAGGTTGGCTTCCTAACAGCCCGCATTTATATCATTTGCTGTTCGGAGAACAGATATCGCTGTCAACCTATACTTCCCAACCCTTCGTTTTGTTTTGTTTTGTTTTCATTCCACCTTTCCACCTTCTCCCATTTACAAACGGTTTCAAATCCTTTTTATTCTCATAAAAAGATTTTGTTGGCGTTGCGCTGCTTCTAATCTCTCTCCCTCTTTCTCTCTCTTGGTTCTTCTTTTCCCTACCTCAAGAGATAGGTCACCAATGATATCCAGTAGGGAAATAAATCAGCAGGTATCCAATATACTATGGCAGAAGAAAGAAAAGATTCATGAAATTATAATGAAGAAAAAAAACCGTAAAGAACAAAAAAAAAGAAGATAGTCATAATTTCATGTAACGCAAAAAAAAAAATTTCTTCTTTCTTGTTCTTTTTGTAATTCTCTTCATACTTTCTTCCTCATCCTACTCCTCATCATACACAAAAGGGGAGAAAAAAAAAAAAAAAAACTCCTTTCCACTCTCACCTCTCATCAGAGAGTGAAACAACAGAGTTGTTTTTGCCCTTATAAAGAAAAATAAATAAATATCTACACGCGTCTGCTAGATGTTATAATTGTTGGTGGTTGACGACGTAGTACCCCATTACTTCCTCCTTTTTTATCAATTCCTCCTCCATTGGTACTTCGGCCATTACACGATTCATAAACACTGCTACTAACTTGAGGGGATCGTCCTGATGATGACAATGGTTGGCCTACTGGAGAGCTGGGACGCGAACTTCGTGGACTTCCGCGTATTGAAGAACGCTGTACTACGGATGGTGATGCTCCCGACTTGTTAGATTCCCATGCTGGTAAAACACTACTGCTTAATTGAGATCGATGAGGAGCAATATTCCTGTAGCTCGAAATACGACTTGAAGAACTAGGAGAAGTAGATATCTGATTTCCGATTGTATTTGGACTACTAGTACGAATAACTGAACTTCGGGAATTCCTCGAAGGTCCTGGATTAGATGGAACTCTTGTTCTTACCGTACCTGTTTCTGCCATAGAAGCAGAAGCTGGCCGTTTTGGAACACTGGATGGTTTCTTATCATGCGTGGGAGCAGGAAGAGGAGAACCTTTACGGTACTTATGACTGGATGTAAGTGCTGCAAATGGGGATCTTCCAGGGGCGTGAACCGTGTTAGGTGGCGCGAGATGACGATGATATTCAGCTCCAGCATGACTTCCACCATCTAAGGTGGAGTGTCCACTTGCTGTTCTTGCTGCTTGTGAAGAAGTTACCCCATCTGTTATGGAAGCACTGCGTCCTCCTTTTGTATCGGATCGAATGGTAAGTTCTTGTCGTCCTCGTGGATTTGTACGTGGATCAGATTCTGGACGACGTCCACATGGTGTAACACTTCGACTCATAATACCATTCCGACGTCGTCTAGCGCGTAAAGCCATAGAACCATGATAACCGAGAAAATGATTATTTGCATCTAATTGATGCAATGGTTGTACAAAAATAACAGGTGCTTCAGTTTCAGAATGCACATGTGTTCCTTGTTTTGTGTCTATGAATACAATTCGCTTGTTTTTCTTACTTTGTGTTGTAATACGAGAAGATTCAATAGGTTTCACTGGTTGTCCCACGTCAACTTTACCTGTACATAACTTGTATAATTCATTCTGGCGTTGTACATCAAAGGTAAGGCCGTTAAGCAATGTATTGCGAAGTACCCATTGATCATTATCAAGACCAAACTGTGAATCATCCACATCGACATCAAAAACATCATGGTCTACAGCGTTACGCTTTGCAAACATACGTAGTTGTCGTAAGAAATGTGGTTTAATTGACATATCCTTATGCGCCATTTCAAGGAAAGAAAGAGCACTGTCAAGTTTCCAACCATATTTTACGATAAAGTATGCCGCTATAAGCGCTGGACTACGTGACAAACCATTTTGACTATGTACTAGCACACAATCTCCAGTTGACAAAGCTTCATCAATAAACTTTACCGTTCGTTTAATATTTTCATCAGCGCTATCAAACATCACGGCGGTACAGACTGTTCCTTTGGTATCCTTCCAGGGAAAAGAAAGGTATTTTACTCCATCACCTTCAAAAAGATCTGGAAGTTCACCTCCAGCACAGTTAATAATATGGGTGATTTTGTTTAGCGCAATGAACTCACGGTCTTGTGAAGCAGTCACATTTCCCACGAAAATTCCATCCTTCACACGAACAGCGATAAGCTCTTGCATCGTAAAACCAGAGAAAATACTCTACAAATAAGGCGCTGCTGTTCCTTACAATTTAAAAAACACCGGGTTAGCGCACTACCACTAACAGACACACACACGAGGAGAGAGAGAGAGAAACACGTGCGTAAGCACACACACACAGGGAACGGAACGGACCGGACCGGAGAAGTAAACTAAAAAAGAAAAAAAAAAAGCACGAAGAAATCCAAAGATCCCACTTCTTCCTTTTACCTTTTTTTTTTTAAGAAACTTATTGGTCTTTGGTTATTATACTCTCCACTTGTGCTTGTCAGTTCTTTTTTTTTTTTTTTTCCTTCCCCTTTTTCTTCTACCAGATCGGGAAAGAGAAATTTACTAGCTCCTGTGGAAGCAGCGGCGAGCACGATCAATATTATTCTATAGAAAAAGGAAATGAAAATGATAACACGGAGAAAAGAAAAAAAAAAAAAAACACAATAAAAAGAAAAAAAAAAAGACAAAAGACAAAAGACAGAAGACAAACAACCATCAATTTGTTAAACAAGTAGAATTACCTACTTTTTTCTCATTGTGATACTATCTTCTGCTATTTAATCCCATTAAGTTGACTTAAGTTTGTGTACGTATTAGTAGAGTAATGGGTACAAGTGCATCCATATTTCTTTTGCGATCCAAGTATAAATTTCTTTTTTTTTTTTCGTTTCTTCTTCCTTTGTTCATCGCTCTCATGCTCTTCTTCTCACTTTTCTATCTTCTTTTTTCTGCTAAAACGAATTTAAAAAGAAAAAAAAAAAACAAGCGCAGCATGTATGGTTACTCTCCTCCCCATTAATCCTTCGACGTTATCACTTCTTCTTTTTATTCTTTTTCTTTTTGTCTTCTTCATCCTCTTCCTCATCATCGTTATTATCTTCAATCATGTAAAAATAGTTTCCACCCTGCTTCTGTTCGCGGTCCTTCACAGAATCCAGCTTATTGATGCGTGGACGGAAGTTTGTGGGATCATGACGGAAGGTAATGTTCAGACTCTTCAAAAATTTATTCATTCCCTCTAAAAGACCACACGGTGTGTTAGCCCTGCAATCCACTGCGGGAGTACCATCATAGACAATAACACGATCCGCCAAGTATGTTGCCATAATAAAATCGTGCTCCACAATAAAGGCAGTACGTTTAGTGTGCATGATAAATCGTTTGATAACACGAGCGGCAATAATACGTTGATCAGAATCCAGATAAGCACTCGGTTCATCGATCAGATAGATATTTGCAGGTGTTCCAAGCGCAATACACAAACCAACACGTTGTAATTGACCTCCTGAAAGATTTTGCACCTCCTGGTCAAGAAGTTCTTCAATTGTTAAAGGTTTTAGCACATCAGTTTGAAACTGAGGATGAGAGAAAGCATCATAAATTTTAGATTGAAGTAAATCTTTTACAGTTCCTTGAAATTTTGGTGCAATTTTTTGTGGCTTATAACTGATAGAAAGTTCAGGTACTTCAGCACCATTATCTGGTTTTTGTTGACCTGCCAACATACGAATAAAAGTAGTTTTACCACAACCATTTTCACCGAGTAATACAATAATCTCAGAATCAGAAAATGAACCTGGTTCTACTGTAAGAGTAAATCCACCCAAGTTTTTGGTCATCTTAGGATAAGAATTTTCAGTAGTATGTTTAGTAACTTCATCAAAATCCTTAGCAATACGAAAGGTCAAACCTTCTTCACGGAAACGTAAGTTCTCGGTTGGAACGAAACCATCTAAAAAGATGTTTATACCCTCTCGAACACCGTAAGGCATTGTAACAACACCATAAACACCAGGAACACCATACAATACACATACAAAATCTGACATATAATCAAGAGCGGAAAGATCATGCTCCACAACAACCACATAATTATCTTCTTTTAATAAGGAACGAATAACTTGAGCAGCTGTAAGGCGTTGACGTACATCTAAATAACTAGAAGGTTCATCAAACATATAAACAGTGGCTTCCTGAACACATAAAGCTGCAATTGCAAAACGTTGTAATTCACCACCAGATAATTTATCAAGCTCACGATCAGCAACATTCCCCAAATCAAGAACCTTCATAAAATGTTCTTTCATTTCACGTTCATCCGCTTTAGCAAGGAGTTCACCAACAACTCCTTTGGTTGCTTTAGGAATCTGATCCACATATTGAGGTTTTAAAAGAACACGTACCTTTTCCTCCAGCATCCGTTGAAAGTACGCCTGATGCTCAGAACCACGGAAGTAACGTAATATTTCTTCCCAACTTGGCGGGTTGCGATAACGCCCAAGATTTGGCTTAATCTTTCCTTTTAAAATAGATAAGGCTGTCGATTTTCCTGTACCATTAGCTCCAACAAGACCCAAAACTTGACCCGGACGTGGAAGAGGTAAACGATGAAGTTTAAAGCTGTTAGGTCCATAACGATGAACAGTCTCCTTCTCAAGATTTGATGGTAAATTTATAATATGAATAGCATTGAATGGACATTTCTTCACACATAAACCACAACCAATACAAAGTTCCTCGGAGAGTGTCGGAGATTTAGAGGTTTTTTTCACTTCAACGCATAGTTTTCCTTGAAGATTGACTGGACAACACCTACTGCACTCCAAAGCACACTTATTCGGTTTACATCTGTCAACATTGACAACAGCAATACGAGTCAATTTTGACTTCTCCTCCTGTAGATTTTTGGAGTGCATTATTAACACTACCACACCTAAAAAAAAAAAAAGAGTATGAAAAAAAAAGGAGAAATTAAATGTACTTTTCTTGAGTTTCTAGACCATAGTAAAGTAAATCATTACCAACGCCACAAATGTGTTAAAACAATTCTTTAATATTAACGACAATAATAATAAATAATAATACTCTTGCTAAGATTAACTTGCCGAGATATATGTTATTTCTGCTGGTATGTTTTATTTTTTTAAAAGATGTCTAACCTATTTTTCGTTAGTTTCATCAACCATGAGGGTTTCAACAGTTGTTTCCGATGTTGATCCCCACTGAGCATCACGTCTTTGTTGATTAAACAAATGCCAACTAACGAAAACAATCGTTGATACAAGTAAAAGAAAAAAACAACCCATTGTATAATACCAAGAAGCTGCTGCCCCATATACATTCCATGAAGGAATCAACAATAAAAGAAATGTATTGATTGGTTGTGTCAACTGACTGGTTACAGCTGCTACTATAGGTGAATAACTATTCATGTACGCAAATACCAGATGACGAATCCAAAATCCTAATACGTAAACTAACATATAACCAGCATTATTAGGACATGTACCAATGCATCTGACGCTAGAAAGTAGCATATCCCATGACTCTTGTATAGAATCACATTTCCCGAAAAAAGGCAAGGAATCCAAAGGAAAGTACATTATAGTTAAGAAAAGCTGTACAATAGTTTCTACTGTTAACATTACAATTTTCGCGGTAAATGGGGAACAACATTCTGAAAATTTATGTAAGAAACGACCTTGTAAAACGTTATAAAGAGGAAATAAAGCTGTTGCACAGAGAAATATTACTATCCATGGAGGACTAAAGTAAGTATTTTTATTATGATTTTTAGCCTGAGGAATCATTGCAAGTGCTACTCCCCCAGCTGTACAGGCAATGACTACAAGTAACAATGGTGAAAATGATGGTTGACTTTCTGGGTACAAAAAAGATGCAAGTAAATACGTCCAAATAGGGCCTGTTGATATAAGTGCAGATTGTAGTAACACTGGAACATGTACAGCAGCATACATACCAAAAAGTCCTGTTAATGAATCAAAAAGACCTATTAAAAATAATAACATAACACCCTCATGACATACCCAAAAGAAGAAATTCTCAGGTCGTCCATGATATCGTTGAACCAAACGGTGAACAAAACCGGAAAGAAAAAATAAGAGAGCCCAACCTAGAGAAGGAATAAGAATACTAGTGTAGCTTCGTTTGAGTCCTTTCTCAAATGACCACAGCCAAAAATTCATTCCGAAAAACATCATTGCTGATGATACATAAAGTAGAACTACGAGAACTGTGGCAGTTCCAATCTCCTGCTTCGTCATACTCAAATTATTAACCTTTCTTCTAACCCATCCTATAACTTGTGCCATTATTGCCTCTTTTTTTTTTTGTTGTTTGATGTACCTAAAAACAATAAAATGTGAAAAAAGAAAGAATTAGAACTATACAATCAAAACAAACCAAAACCATATTTCTAGATGATAATCTCGTAACAATTATTATCTCTGAAAAGAGTAAATTCAATAGAGTTGTCGTACATATTTATTTTTTTTTTTTTAAAAACTTGCAAGTTGATAAATGGAAAAAAACACTTTTGAAAACACACATAAGTGAAGATATAGGAAACTCATAAGGATATAGAGCGAGAGAAAACCAAAGGCAAAAAAGAACAAAAGAGAAAAAAAAAACAATAATCTTGTTTACATATATTTCTCTTTAAAGACTACGAGAAAACATACCTGAAGAATTACACTTAACTATTTTGGATATAAACTTATGGTAGCTTACATTACCCTTGCGCAAGCAACCAAATCGTTGTAAATGTAACATAAGTTCCTTTCCCTCTGCTTGTGAAAGGGGTTCACCTTCTTCCAACATAATTTGTAGAAAACGGTTCAATTCAATATGTCCAGTACGATTAGGGTCATACATTGCAAAGACATCTGCCATTTGATCGACACCATAATTATCATTATGAGGCAATACTGTAGGTATTGTAGATATAATAAGAAAAAACTGAGGAAAATTTATTGTATCTCTATTCTCCAGTTTCGCTTCTGACACAACACGAAGATATAACTCCTCAGTTAAACCTGGTGTAAGCTTAAGCATCAACTCTTTAACACGGGGCATTTCAATGTAACCCTCACCAGCACGATCAAATAAGCAAAAGGCCTCTTGAATTTCAGCAACCTCATCGTGCGTTAAAATTCGTGGTGCTCGTTTTGATTCCATTTTGGTTTTGATAAGACTTTCTTTTACCACTGTACTTAATCAAAATCAAGGAGGAAAAAAAAAAAAGAAAGGTTAATCTCTTTTTCATATCATTTTTTCCTTCTTTTTTTTTCATTATAACTCAGTAAATTAAAAACCAATTGGCAAACCCTGAAAAAAGAGAGAAAAACAAGAGAAAAAAAAACATAAAATACCATCACCATTTTTATCATAATCTACTGGAAAGGAACAGAACTATGACGTTCGCTTGGAGTTGCATCAAGGGCATTTTGAATAGTTGTGGGTTCAGTACCATATACTACTGTAGGTTGCGGAGGTAGAAGTGTAGGTTGTACATATCCGGGAACCAAAGTATTTGTTTCCATTCTTTTCACTCTTGCTAAAGCTCCCAAACTAATCAGGAACTCATCAATTCGTTGGGCAGGGTTACCATCTTTTTTTCTAAGAGCATTTTGAACACCACGAGCCAAAATCATCAAAGTTTGAGAATTACCGCTTGAAAGAATGGTAGTCAAAGTTTCAACAGCGTCATCATAGCTGTAAACAATACCTTGTCCAAATTCCGGATGTCGAAATCTTAACCACTGAAAAAAATCTGTAAAAGGATTTGCCTGACGAACATTATGATAAGATTTTCTAATTTCTTCACGAGCTGTTACGTCAAATTGAATTGAAAACAGTAAATATTTTGCTTGTACATCTAGACTTGCAGTCCATAAAGGTATGCTAACATCATCCATATCACCTCCTGAAAAACGTCGTAACATAAACTTTGATGTCACATAAACCAGTGCACAACCAGTAAAAAGCATAAGCCAGTCTACGCCTTGTCTGCCGGTTGAACCAGCTCCTCCAATTGGTAAACCACCATTAGCTGCATAATAAGCTTGAGAAGCAGCAGAAGCTGTTGCACCCTCCTCTGAAGCGAAGTGACCATAACGAAAATTAACCATCTCTGGTATTTTCATTCCACGATATCTTTGAAGTACCTTTTCTCGCAATTCTTTCTCCCTTTCCCGTTCCAATGGGTCTTCAGGGATTAAAAAACGTCTAGCGTTAACAAGAAATGGAGCATTAAATGCACATGAAGTCGATGATATTCTACGAAACATTATTTCCTCGTTCTTGTATTTTATTTTATTTTTCTTTTTCTCCTTTTCTTTTTCGTGCTTTGTTCCACAGTACAACCTTGAAGACGAAAAAAACAGCATAACATAATAAAAAAAAATAAGAAAAAAAAAATAGATAACGAGACGCATGAAGTAAAAAAAAAAAAACACAACGCACAATAGCAAGCCCCAACAGGGCCACAGCGACCCAAACGGCAATCGCGACACCGACCCCTCAAGAATGAAAAAAAGAAAAAAAAACCACCC